ATCAGGTTTTGAATCTTATCTGCCCAACTGCCCTTTCAGATTTGTATGCTGGTCCACTCTATCAGCAAAGCCCAAATGTGGCATCGAAAAGTTTCCTATTCGCTGCTGTTGGCCCTACAATCCGCTTCTTCTTGGAATTCTTCCGCGACCCAGGGTGGCATGTTCGAAGTCCTGTTCGAATCCATAATCGCAGCGAGTGTCATGTAGAATTGGCGTCCAACATGTTGGACTGGGTGGAGAGGACGCCGACGTCAGACTGGACCCAAATTCGTTATTGCGTTTTGGATAGCATCGGCGAAGATGCTGTACTAGCTTCCGATGTCATAATAGGCACCGTACGAAAATGGGCGGATAGATCGCAGAGCCAGGGATTCCCGACTTTCAAGGACTTGTTCACGATTGTTGTATTCCTTGATCGGACGCGTGGCGATGGCTGTAACGGTCGCGAGTCGGAGTGGACAGTGCTCGTGAACATTGTGCGTTCTGAATTAGAACGTCTGCAGACCCAGCACGGTTATTTCTCGTAATATAGCGCCCGGATGTAGGCCGTCGCCACGAAATTTATAGAAACCATCTCACAGATCCCCATGTGCTGCATTTTTCTGATTCGTACTAATTAATAACATCGAGATCCCCACTTGATAAAGCTACATTGTATCAGCCTTTAAAGCCCAATTATTCGACTCGATTCCTCAAAGTTCGAACAGACCACGGCTCTACTACCGATGTCGTAGTACAGTCAGAAGGCGACTCGTCGGCAGTCGCAGTAGTAGATCAATGCCTCTTGTAGACAATCACGATTGCAAGATTTATTGGTGCGCTTCAAGAAAGGAACCAAGGAAACACAACTACCATTCGGAGATTCCAGTCAAATATTCGTGTATGTCGCTTGACTCTATTCAGTAGCCTATAAAGAAAAGGCTCTCAAGGCTGCGCCTTGCGAATTAAACCTCCGAAGAAGCCCCCGAGAACAAACAATCCGGGATAAACAAAGCACGCCCAGGTCTTGCCTTTCACCATTCTAACTGTCGAATCGTCGAGGGCCGGAAGCTCATTCGAGCTTATTCAAAATACGGTTGCGGAATGGGCGGATCGGGCGCAGCGACTTGGACTACCAACGTTCGTCGATTTCTTCGCCGTACTCGACTTCCTGGACCGTACCAGTGACGACGGATCGAACGGGCGAGAGGAGGAGTGGAAGGTTCTGGTGACAGAAGTCATGCGTCAGCTTGACAGGCTGCAGTCTGAGTGCGCGTACTTTTCGTTACCTCGAGCTAACAAGCAGTATGAGAATCAAGAGATCGCACTAGTGAAATCGCCATCGTAGATTGTTCCTTTGTTATATATGAATCGTAGTCTCGAGTCACGTCAGTAGGGAATCAATATGTAAAGTAATAGGCATGCGTACTGACCACTTCTTTGTGATCTCTTGTGCTGCCTCGCGTCTGTGATACCTACGCTCAAGGTCTAATTGACTGTCCTGGTGTCGGGTCTCATGCAGTAGAAAGAGAAACGAAATTACTCTCAGCCGTGTACTGACTGGAAAGTAGTCCTGGAAAACGTGTTATATACTGTAGTAGCAGGCGACATCATATAACAATGCTGAGTAGAGTACACGGCTAGTGGCATGGACAGCTGACACGACTGGTGGAAACGCGAGGTTTCCGTGGATAGGTGCCGCCAAACAACGCGTCAACAATGACAACAAAACCCTGGGCACAGCTTTCGCGTTGTTGGCTTCGACTCGTTACCGCGATGGTCCATCACTGACAAGTGTGCACTGGGTACTCTCACCCATTATGGACTATATACATTTTCACCGTCTTTCTCGACCGTCCTGTACGATTTCAACAGGACGAATAACATGCTCATCGCTTCAACAGACCTTTGAGCCAGCATCGATGGCTAGGAATATGCAGCCTCTTTGACCTCTCTTCTTCCGGACGCTCGTGGACAAAACCTGTATTCGTGAGACTCACCATATATGCAAACGTCACCCTATACCTGTGCAATTGGTGCTCTCCCTCTAGTTCCATCCGTCATATACAGCTCAGACTACCCAGTATGATGTCCGTCCTCACGCAGGTCATGAAGGCTGTATCTGGTCGTCGTGCGAAGCTGTCGTCACAACAGGCGCCTTCGAGTCGACCTACTAGCCCCGTGTCCTTTGGTAGCTGCGATACAGCACAATCCGACCCTGGGCACAGGGGTCCCGCTACTTTCTATGTGCCCTCCGACCCTGTGAGCACACGTTTCGTTCAATTCTATGATATCACATTGAGTGCAGTTCCAGCCCCCAACCGCGATTTCCGATCTGTATGCTGGTCCGCTCTATCTACGGAGGCCAGATGCGGCATCAAACAGTTTCCTGTTCGCTGCTGTGGGACCGACAATCCGCTTCCTCTTGGATTTCTTCCACGACCCGGCGTGGAATGTTCAGCGTGCTCGAATCCGTAACCGAAGCGACTGCCATCTTGAATTGGTATCCAATATGGTGGAGAGGATGCCGACGTCAAACTGGATTCAGATTCGTTCCTGCGTTTTGGATAGCATCGGCGAGGATGTTGTACTGGCGCCGGATGCCATAACCGGCGCCGTTCGGAGATGGGCTGATAGATCACAGAACCTGGGATTCCCGACTTTCAAGGACTTCTTCACGATTGTTGAATTCCTCGATCGGACGCGTGGCGATGGTTGTAACGGTCGCGAATCGGAGTGGACAATGCTCGTGAACATAGTGCGTTCTGAATTGGAACGTCTGCAGACCCAGCACGGTTACTTTTCGTAAAGTAGCGCCCGGATGTGCTGTCGCCACGACGTTATAGAAACCATCTCATAGATCCCTATGTCCTGCAATTTTGTGATCTGTACTACTTAATAACTGAGATCCCATTTGATAGAGATGTATCGCGTCGCGGCCATTGGAACTCAATTAAGTATTCTATCTTTCGAATCGTTGCTGCAAGGACTCCAAACATACTACGACTGTCGCAGTACTGTCAGACGCCTCGAATTAGACCTCTGCACGAAGCCCCCGAGAACAAACAATCCGGGATAAACAAAACACCACACCTTGCTCAGGTCTTGCCTTTCACCATCAAAATTCTGTATGTCATGGATATGATAAGTCTAAATACGTGCTTCTGGCATTTTCGTATCTAACTGTCAAGTTGTCGAGGTACGGATTAGTCGACAGCGCGCTGTGACAACGACAGCAATCCACTTCTCGTGTTGGTAAGTGGATTTCCCCCTAGCTCTGTGACGGCCCGCATGCTCCTTCATATCTCCCGCCAGCTTGCCAATCAGGTCACAACTCCAGCTTCCCTTCTTCCTGATGACTCCGCCTCGTCTTCTGATCAACGATTTGACTCTTTCGCTTCCTCAGCCTGCTTGTCGCCTTGTTGACAGCCCTCCTGGGTATGCTATGCAAACAATGGCTTCGAGCATATTAAAAGGACATCGCGATGTCGCGAAGGCAAATGCTCGGCCTTCGTCAGATGCGTTTCGGATCATTCAATCTCTGGCGCGTCGAGGATCTTCTAGCGTCACTCCCCAACTCACCCTTCTCCTCTTCCTCTTCGGTGTGCTCGACTTCCTCTGGATCTGTGACGCCATTACGGCAGGCATTATCACCTTCGCTGCTGAACTCGGCGTTGGCGCTGAATTCAGTACAACCAGCCTTCCCGCTCTCGTCTTCATGAAGCACTATACCGATACGGAACACTCGAGCGTTGAGTATATTCCTGTATGTGCTTATAAATCACCACAGGCGTGGCTTTGTCTTCGCATGGCGCTCTTATTCAAGAAGCTGAATGACCAGAACGTGAAGGTCAACGTTTCACATTGCCTTTCTGAATTGGAGCTATCTGCACATCCTGACCTTTTCCCCTGGCGTGCTACGGAAGGTCATCCGACTCACGAAGAAAGTATCTTTTTGGAAGGCGAGATATTGACCTGAATGTGCACGATTAGGGTCCTTGGGGAACATAAACGACTAGAAGCTTGTTCCCGTGTCCATCGCCGCAGTACCTTTTGCATCACTTGGAGCATGACGCTCAGGAGGTTTGATGTGAGTTCAAAGGTTCAATTTTCTGTCACCATCATTGACTGTTGATTTAGTTTCGCCCTGGAATAAACACCGTTCATTTTCAATCACCGACCTATATTCGGGCCCGCTGTCTGTTCGATGATCGGTCGGTGTCGCGAACCCCAGTTTCCTTTGTGCCAACATTGGCGCGGTGATCCGCTTCTTCATGTGTTTCTTCCAGGACGCAGACTGCCATCAGTGCCTATCCGTCAGAAGCGCAGTGAGTGTTACGTGCAGATGCCCTCAAGCATACTGGACTGGCTAGATGAAACGAAGTCATGGGAGAGGACTTGTGGTCGATACGATATGCTGGACGATCAGGCGCTGCTGACGTTTGGGCTCAGACAGAATAATGGGCGGACCGGGCGCAGCGACTCGGACTACCAACGTTCGTCGATTTCTTTACCGTACTTGACATCCTGAATCGTACCAGCGACGATGGATCCAACGGGAGTGAGGAGGAATGGAAGGTTCTAGTGACCGAAGTCATGAGTCTACAGTGTGAGTGTGCGTACCTTTCGTTACCGCACTCTAACATGCAGTATAAGAATCAGGACGGCGCGACGGAGTACCTCTTTGTAAAACATAAATCGTTTTTTTCCTTAACGTTAGAATAGAATTGCCAATTGCATAGAATAGAGAGCGTACCGATGTTCGGGTTTTCGTGTCTTATGCAGTAGAAAGAGAAACGAAATCATTCTGAGACCCGAGTGTTTCCACCTTTGTTTTCGCAAACAATCAAGTGTCAGTCTACAAGAACATCCTGGACAGGATTCATGCCATATTCTTGAAGGTGTCACGACAATCATACCTAAGTCCGTCGCGGCTTTCGTGTTAAAGCGCAGGGAGATCCAGTAAACGATATTCTAAGCTACTGTCTGTTGAGGTCAATGCCATCATGAGTAAAATGTGTAGCCCACCGCGAGGGTCGAACTCGCAGCCTTCAGATGCCACTTCCTCAGATTTTAAGAGTCTGACGCTCTATCCGATTGAGCTAGGCAGGCATACAGGATGTGTAGCGCGGAATTATTGTTCAGAGTGGAGACCCCACAAAGATTGGCTTCAACAAACTGGCCGAAATCCAGAGTTATTATTGCTTTTTTGGTGCTAGCATTGGCGGTAATGTTATACTAACGTCCGATGCCATGATAGATATAGTTCACATTGATCACAGAGGCTGGGATTCCGGACCCCAAACGGAGTGCTAGACCCGTCGAGCTGACAGTGCTGGTAGACATGATGCATTTTCTGAATTTGAATGTTGCAGTTCTAATGTACGTGTCTCACCCTTGAGATCCCTGATGACCTGCTTGTAGTAAGAAGTTGTTTATCATTCTCACTAACTTGAATTGTTGGCGAATTAGCGGGTCGAAGCGTTGGAAAAACTTCATAGATTGCATTAACTTCAGCATAAAGAAGTAGGCATAACAACAGAATCGACATGATGGGCGCCTTCACGCTACATAAAAATGGTATGATTCTTTCAATCTTCGATCGTAACTCTGGAAATGAATATTAGAGCTCGGTCGCACAATAGAGATATGGACGCACTTTAACAGGCAACAACGATTTTGATCTTCCAGGTATTTCCTTGCTTCGCCTGGTGTTTCCGATGAACGGTAGTATTCTGCGGCAAAGAAGGCCATTCCTCTTTCGCCTTGGCCTGCTTGTTTTCCTGTCGGCGGCCACAAACTGATTCGCGTGTTCGACTGCTGGAGTTTTCCGAATCTGAACTCGTCCATAGCCGTCGCGAACTAGACTGGATTTCATTCGAATCGGTACGGGGATTTGGTTGGTTGTGAATGCGAGAGGCCAGACGCTTTCTCATGAGGTCTTCGAAATCGAGCACATCGGCATCCAGTTCGTCGGAAGAGGAGCTAATAGATGTGTTGGGCGATACACGTCCATATCGTTTTGGATGGGGTTTTTTTTCAGAAGCGGCAAGCACGAGAACGGGAATATCAGAGAGGCGCGCTGAATCGAGAACAAGAGTTCCGGCTGATCTGTCGTCGGTGGCGGGTGTAGGGCATACAGCCAAGACGACTTTTCGTCGTGGAGCAGCGTCGATCTCGGAGCGCGCACAGTGGAGGGTGTTTTTAATCCACTGAGGTTCAAGCGTAGGGATTGCAGTGGCAGTGGCGTTGTGGTCGAGCTGGATGCGGAAGCGGGGATTATACCCGACTTGGTCTTCGAGAAGGCGAGAGGCGGCACGTGCGTGTTTGGAGGTGCGTTTAAGCATGTCGAGGGTCGTGAGGGCTTGTGCGAGGTGTTAATTGGGATGTATGTAGGAGAGAAAAGAACTATGTACCTTGGAGAGGAATTACGACGGTTTCTTGACGGTCGGGTTTGGACCATCGTTCGACGTGGTGGAAGCCGTGGATGAGGAGGCTAGCGTCGACGACGACTACATCCGCTTGGGAGGGCGCTCTTCGGGTAGGGGTCCGTGGGGGCGTAGGGCATACGGTTTTCTCTAGCTGTTCGACTTGATATTTCAGGAATGCGGCGCCGAGAGCTTTGGACATGGCCAACTTGTTTGATGGGATTTCCTATAAGCAACGTTAGCACTCCAGTCAAGATACGATATGGGACTTAACACACCATTAATGGATGTAGTACGGATGCTGGAGGGAATATTTCGTTGTCATTGCAGGCTCAATCGTGGCAGTTTTATAGACGGCTAGTACAAGAACAATTGCATTGACCAGTACAATAAGCCATCCAATTGCTCCTGCTTTTTGTTGATCAAAGTGAGCCCAAGAACAGAACAAAGGGCCGAGAACAACATGGTCTTGTGCCGAAAGCAAGCAGATCCCGAAAACAAAGGGCAGGCTGCGGCAGGGCGGCATGACATCAAGGTACATCTGCTGAGTCATCATGAGTTGCTGTACCTTGCACTGTGATTGTCATTGCACAGCTCTCCGCTGGCCTTGTCTCCTTTATTTCTTGAACGTCAACCACCACTACCGCCTCAAACTACCCCCCTCTGCATCGCTGTATATACGGCGACAACGACGAACACGACGGCGACCACCACTGTAACAGCCACAGCTACCATGGTGCGCAATACTAGCTACGGCACCTGCAATGCTCATGCTAACAGCCTGCAGGCGGCACCACCCAACAAAATCGCCATGTCCAAGGCGCTTGGCGCGGCATTTCTAAATCACCAGGTCGAGCAGCTCGAAAAGAGCGTGGGCGGCAACGATGGAGGAAATTGGCGCGGCCGTGGAGGCGGTCCGCCCAAGGCCAACGCCCCGCGACGCACGATGGAGCCAAAGAAGGAGAAACCGCAGGACAGGCAGGAGAAGGAAGCCGATATCATCGTGGCAGATGCGAGCGTGCTAGTCCACGGCCTGGAACATATCCGCAAGTGGTGCCAGCGCGGCCGCGACGAAATTGTCATCGTCCCGCTTGAAGGTGGTGTTCTGGCGTCATCCATGATATTTCTCTAATCTCCCTATAGCCTTGAACACTTTGGATATGCTCAAAAAGTCATCCAAGGCTGCTCGCGAAGCTTCGCGCATTCTCGAGAAACAAGTTGGCGCCAATCCGCGCATTCGCGTACAGCAAGATGATGCCTTTGTGCTCTGGGATAAGATTCATTTTGCCGATGCCGAGGATACCAGTCCATCTCCAGAATGGGTGCGTCGCACTATCTGCAGCGCTCGTTGGGAGGTCGAACACGGCGCAAAGCCCAAGATTGTCCTTGCCGTGGCGCCCGTTACTGGTTCGCCCGCCGAACGTGCTAATGGATCCCTTGTCGCATTGTGGGCGAAACGCGCTGGCGTCGAGGTTCTAGAGCTTTTGCCTACTCCTTGGACTGGCGGGCATGGCAGAAAAAGTTCCGACGAGGACCGCCGCGAGCCTCGCAAGGATGTACACCCCCAGCAGAAGGTACTGCCCGTGCGCCGACGAGAGAGGGAGGAGCGCCAGCCTCTTGTCGAGCGTGTTCCGGCTCCCACCAAAGTCATCCGGGTCCTGGCCCGTGGGGAGAAACTTGATTAGGATTACTAGGACGGACTTCGCATGGTGCGATTAATATTTTCCTTCGCGACCTTGGTTAACATGCTTTGCAGATAACTCGTCTTTACAGATATAGGTCTACTTGCCATTGCAGGCTCGCTCCGGCCCGGACGATCCTCATAGGACGTTCAGCGAGGGAAGGGAGCGGAGCGAAATTGGGATGGGTGACTACTCGGACGACGTCTTGGATTTCGTGTTGGTTTAGACTTGTGTGCCCACCCTTTCTCCCGCATCCCTCGAACCCTTCCTTCTCGTTTTCCATTTTCACTGGGTGTCAAAGTGCTGGCATCTCTGTCGTCAGAGTGCAGTACGTGTTGCTCGGTTTACATATGATTCTTTAACTTGTACTATTATCCTTACCTATGCATTTTCTTTTTCCTCTCTGTTTCGTTCGTCTATAAAGGCGCAATATCTGAGCATGGCGCGTTTTGAGATTAACAATTTGTTCGCCTTATAAAATGTATGTACAGCCGAACAAGTAACCGGTATTCGATCATCAGGACAGACTAATGTTGTAGTGGTGTCGACCTAATGGTGGCGCTCATAGCAAAGGCGACTTTCAAAGTCACAACCGAAACGTCAGGTGTATTCTTCGCCTACTCATATAGAAACTGCGTGAGCATCAGGCATTTAGTGGCGGAGGCGAACGACGTATCGGCAGGGATATATGGCGACATAGTAGAGCTTTAAGATAATGTGAGTTAGTACCGACCTTCACTCCTCCCTCGCTAATGAGATGGTCGCGATACATAGATAGATATGTGGCGCTTATGCGCGGAAGATGACAACGCACGGCGAGTCTAGCAACAGGCCTCGGAGAGTCCTAATTGTCGCGTCTTGGTCCAGTCGCTATATGTGGCTTCAAATCTCGCCAAATATGCAAGAAATATCCCTTCTGTACCATGACCGCGCGATGTCAAACAACCCGTTCACCAGCGAGGCATGGGCGCCGAAGTAACATAGTAGACGGAACTCATCTTGTAACATTGTTAAAGTGAGTCTTTCTATCACAACTAATATTCTATACATAGAGACGACGTGTCATCTGAAAACCTCACACTACGGTTTCACGCATCTACAAACGATGAGCAACAAGAATGATGAATCTCGAGATGTCGTTCAGAACTCACATTTCAAAACTTTGTCTGGATTATGAGCTCTCCCTCGTGCATACGAAGCAGTCTCCGGCGCCACCCAGAATGGTGCAAGTTCAGAAACCATCTCGGCTCTTGGTCAAATTTGAAAAAATCTACCAGCGCCTGCACCACCTCATCGGGGGGAAGCTCGACGCCGTTCTCGTAATTATTCGCAATCGACACGCAGCGCATCTCGGGGTCATTCATCTCGATTTTCTCCTCCATTCGCGGGCGCCACGTCGGGGAAAGGTGCAGCTCATCGGTCATATACTCGTAGATCCGATCCATTGTCGCGTCTGGGTCGTACTGTTCCTCACTTTCGTCGTTGAGGAAGTCATATGCCATCGTGTTTACAATGAAATCGGGGCGGTTGGCTTCGAGCGCAGAGAGAACCTCGTCATCATTCATCGACCAGCCATAGTTCAACTTTGGCGGCGCATATGAGAACCCGAGCCGGGGGACGAGAGGTGATGGGATAGTACGTATGTCACTGATGGTGCTGAGAACTGAGTTCGTAGAGAACTACGGTCTGATCAAAAAGAGCACAGCGACGAGGTAAAAAAGACGTACACGGAAGCCCATCGAGCGTAGATCTGTGGGTGGAAGAAGGGCTTGCGGAAAAGCTTGAGTTGGAGAGCTCTGCGACGACATGTCGACGACGGATTCAGGTGGTGATGGTAGGTGGGAGAGAACGAACGCAAGATTTATTGACCACAAAGACAACAGTACCACGTGATCTCGATCGTCCGGACAGAGGGCAGAACCAATGGACGAGGACTAGACCATAACGACTTTATGAGGCTTTTTGCGAGACTAGTTGTCCAATATCAGCTTTGCACAGCTAT